ATGATGAGATAGGATCCATGTCCATGAGGTTCGATGCGGGTAAAGCATGGCCGGATATAGCATGATTGTTGTTTAGATATCGGGAAATCAAGAAGGTCACAAAGAAGGTGCAACAAACTGGAGGAGAAAGCATTACTTTAGAGTGATAGGTCAATATGGAGTCACAAGTTGTTATATATGGAAACATGTTCTCTTATTTTAGATATTCATTTGTAATGACTACTTGTTACTTTTTACAATTTATATCGACTATTACAGTAGTTTTTGGAGCACTTAATTACATTGTCTTCAAATGATGAATTGTATCATATTTTTTGCATGATTGATGTCGGTGTGTAATGGCATCAGCACAGGTGACAGCCAGGTTTATCAATGCCATGTAAACAAATTTTTGGCATAGAGTCACAGTCACAGATAATTGTTAAAATGTCACAGCACATGTCACATATCCTTAATATGGTCACAGCAGATTTCAAAATCAGATTTTGCAGAATGGCCATATATTCTGTCTGCACAATCTCAGTGATTTGCATTGAAGTCACAACACAAGTCACAGATCGTCAATATGGTCACTGTTGTTTTTTAATGTAGAAATTTATATATTCCAGCATTTCGCATACAGGTTTTCATACATGCAGTAGGTTGTGAACTTTACATTAATGTCACAATACAGGTCACGGATTTTGAATATGATCATGGCACACTTATGAATGAAAATATCAGATTTATTAGTAATGATTGAATCAATATGTGTATCCTCTTACGTTTTACGTCCTACATTACGTACAATCAACGAATGAAAAAATAGAGAAATTATTAAAAAAATTAGGTCAATGTGTATTGTCCATCTTCCTCCTTTTCTTTTCTTTATTCTTCGATTGACTCTTACTTAATGGAACTAGGCTGCTGCACGTTCTGCGATTGTGACCACTTTCACCACACCGACCACATTTGACAGTTACATTCTCTCCATATGCTGATCTGAATCTCTTCTTAGTTGGCCTTCCACAACTACGCTTTTGATTAGGTGCTAGTACAACTATGCCATTGACATCATCTGGCACTGTCCATTCAACTGTATTCCCGATGGGATAAATGGTTTCATGGTAAGTGTTTCTGTATTCTTAACTTGTGTAGTAGTAAGAACAATATTCATATAGATCCATCTTCATACTTGCAAACACAGCCAACGCGTGTGGACAAGGTAGTTTATCAACTTGAAGCATCCTACATGTGCATGTTGTTTCTCTATATCAACAACGAAAAATGAACTTTCATTGCTAACTGAGAACGTTGTCCGATTAACGGGAGAAACCTGCAATTATTGATGCAAGTTATACACACAATAATTCATGTAAACAAATTGGGAGGACACGAATGCAAAGTGCAGATTTCAAAATTAGAGTGCACACATCACACAAACACCACAGTACAGGTCACAGCTCAAGTCACAGATGTTGAAAATGGTCACAGCTCAAGTCACAGAACTTTTATGAGGCAAAAAAAGAAGAATTTTCATATTTCGGTTTAGGTCACAGATTATAGTTTAGGTCACAGCAATTAACATTACCCTCAATTTTCTTAGATCTGTGCCCATTCTCCTTATCTTCTTCTCATACTTGCTCGACAAGGTCGTAAAAGTGCCTTGTGCGGACTCTCTGTATCTGAAGAACAAAGACTGAATAATTTGTCGTAATGAATCTAACAAAGCTAAAATAGGGTAGTTATTGGCAGACTTTGTGACCGCATTAACTGACTCCACGATATTTGATGTCATT